AACAGGAATAGTTAGCTTCATCTTTTGCACCACTTCCTTCCTTCATGGAATTACAATCTAATTACCAATTGATTTTATTCCTAGATGATACATTTCTCAGAAAACATGCTCTTCAGCTATTTCCACTAAAGAACATTTAATACAACCTTCTCAATTCATCAGCCATAACCCATTATTGCTGAAAGGACATGTTTTCTTCTTATTTTCAAAAGTGGGAACCCCCACACATCTATTTTATACAGAAAAAATATAAGAATTTTAATACATTTGAATACCTTTAATATAGATGAAATATGAATCTTATAAATGTGGCTGATAACAGATATGAAACTCAACCCATCTGCATGTGTTTAGATTTTTCCTACATTTATCCTCAGGAGGAAAAGCAAAAAAACACTCAATCCTCTTATCTTTTAAATTCAACTTTATACATGGTTTAAAACAAAGTAAAACAAAACAAAAAACTCACCTTAAAGGCAAACAAAAAGGAATCAGATTGCTCACTGCCTAACATTTTCTTTATATTTGCCCTGCTTTCTAACTTACTGTAATGCTGTAACTTTCAGTCATACATGAAACCCAATTTCCATAAGCAATCAGTAATAGGAAAACACAAGGATGTTATTTTACAATTATTATATATCACTTCATATTACATTAAAAATCACTGTAATGTCTCGGAAAGTATTCACAGAGAAACGTTTATTCTATTGGAAGCTATACTAACTACTGCCTTCTGTAAAATAAGCTTTTTTGCAGGGGTTAGATAACAATCTTTTTTTTTTTTTAAATAAGATGTTCTGTGTCAATACATTCAGTTCCTTACTCTGACCACTAGACAAAACAAATATTCTGCAAAATAATTCTTTCTCATAGCTTTTCTTATTGGCCTATATTCAGCAGCCTCTATTTGATGAGAAATGACAAGTTTTATATACCTGTGTGTACTCTGTCACTAAAAAAGTTGAGTACCCATGACTGGAACTGATATTCTCACTAAATTTATTCTTAAAAGAACTAGGTAACTGAAATTACTAAAAACTGTGATTAGGCGTAAACAGATTATTTCTCTTAAATAATAATTCTATTTTTATAAAATATCAGAACCTTCACTTTCATTTTTATAAAAAGCACTGAGCTTATAAATTTTGCTGTCCAATTATACCACTAAAAATAAATTATTCAAAGTAATTCCATGATAAATAAGGAAAAATAAATTATTCAGTTTTACTGCATAAATCTAAAATTTTTCTATTTACTATACTCTTGTTTAATCAACATTTTTAATAATCAAAGGCCTCAAGTAACTGACATTCTCTACATTCTGTACTTAGCCTGAATTATCAATATAAATACTTTGGTAAAACCCACATTGATATTATTTTGGGTTGACTCCACGTACAAGCAAACTGCACAGACACTCACTTGCAGACGAGCCTTGGGATGTGCAAGGACAAATTTCAGCCAACATGTGGAGGAACCCCTTAGTTCAGAAGTGAACTTAGCTGACAACATCCAATTGTATTATGGAAGCATCACACTTATCACCTGTACAGAAAATGGAAATGATTCTGTTTAAGGAAACACAGAAAACTAAGTAATAATACATTTGGGATATTAGATATGAATATCTAATTTTCTCCAAGGTATCACTCCATATTATGGCAAATAAACAAATAAAAGCTGTATTAAGGTGTGGAATATCATTAGCCAGAGAAAAGATGAGAAAAATGGATTAAGTAAATGACAACTGCAGGAGAAAATCATATTCTCTTCTCCAGAACAAATGTTAAGTGCATCCTTACTAATAAAGACTTAAACTACATTAGAATATACTGGTTTTCAATTTTGAAGCCTCTAAGTTAATTTGCTAAGCTAAATTGGTGCTTAGGTATACTACAGCTATAAAAACACTGCAGATTTATGCAGAAATAAGTCTTCAGCATCATACTTTGGAGTAGTGCTATGAAAGCAAACCAGATATTATTGAGCAAGGAAAAAAGAATTCCTGTATTTGACATGATCTTAGAGTTGCACCAGCTCCTATTTTACTAAGAAAAAATTATTTGGTATAAATAACTAACAACTATACCAAAAAGATGTTAAAACACAAGAGTCAACACAAAAGAGATACTGAAGAGAAATATACAAAGATAGTGAGATACTACCACTCAAAACAGGCTGTACCGTCCCAAATTTAAAGTATTATTCCAAAGTATGATGCTATGTTCATAATGTATTTTGAAGAACATGTTTAATTCACTCAGGATTACATGATTTCATTTAAGTTCCTGTTATCAACCAACGATCATTTTTTCCTAAGATTTCTAGAATGTATACATACAGTAATTATTCCTTAAAATGGATAATTAGTTTATATTCCTACTTCATCTCTTTTAATGCAATATATCAAATTTGAAAATAACACATGATAACAGCATAAGGATACCACTCATCATAGCTGCCAGAAGGAAAAAGAAAATTTTGATTGGAGATGGTATGGGGATACATAAAGCAATTATCTCAAAATTAATGCTTTTCTTTTAGTTTTAGCAAACAAATCTACATAAGTCTTTCTTTTAGTTTACCGTGTAATTCTAACCAGCTAATTATCCTTGGAGTCAAGAACGAGCTGTGACTCTACACCTGGCTTTTCCGATCATATGCCTATGGTCTCCACTTTCATTTCCTCTTTCTACAATGAGTTTTAATATTAAAGAAAAACATACACACTTCTTACATACATACTGATAGACAGCTAGCTTCCAGGAAATCATGAGCTACAAAGAGAGGAGAAAATCTTAATGCAATACTTATGTTAAAGGGTATTAGGTGCTGGGTAAGCCAAGGGCAATATAATCAACAGCATCCGTCTTGCCAGTGTTTTTGCATTCCCAGATTTGGAGTAAAGAACAATAATATTATTTTAGTGGTCACCCAGGTTATGACTCAGATCCTTAAACTAATAAGAGGCTAAATGCTTTATCTTCACTTACTCATCAATTCAAATGCACAGAACAATATTCTGAAAGAAATGAAACAGTTTTCTTCTATTTCTGGAAACAAAAACAAAGCATTAGGTAAACACTGTAGCTAGGTACTGAGTGATATAAAAAAGAAATTGTTTTAGATCATTAATGCACCCCAGGAGACTGTTTCTATTCCAAAAAAAAAAAAAAAAAAACCCAAAAAATGAAATAGCATAAATTTCTTCTGTTTACCTCTTATATTCCTGTTTCTGCACATTAATTGTGCCTTCCTCTACAGATTTATTCTGAACACTAATATGTGTTTGCTTAATAAAATACTGCTCTATTTTATGCTTTTCTTTCGAAATTATAAACCATTATTCCACAAAGGTAGAGCACAAAGAAAGCCGACACAGGCATTGCCAAAAAGCCACAAGTAGTATTAGTACGTGCCAGAACACTTAACATTAAACTATCATCTCTCTCTAAAACTTCTCTTGCCAAAGTGCTCACAAAATCTGGAGGCTCAAAGACAGGTTTCAAGTGCAATTAAATTCTCCAAAAGCAAAACTGTACAAAAATATGCCGCCCTTCTTATGTCCCCATTTATAGACAACATTTTCTCAGGATCTTAATTAAGATAACGATGCACACCTGTGTCAACATTCTCTGGCAAGACAGCCTTATCAATCATAATCCTTTAAGTACACTCCAAAACAGCAAAGCGATATGACAGAAACAATCTGTTGCCTTTCCTGGTATTGGTGTTGTGTCTCCCCCACAAGAATGATGAGATCTTTAAAATACAGCAGACCTACTTTTATGAGTCTTTAAAGTTTTAACTGTAAACAGCTATTACACTAAATAAACAGGAATAACCTCTTTTGCACTTGACTGAAACAATGACAACTGTACAGACAAAACTTGAAGAGCAAGCTCCTGGGGCCATGTCTTGGCAATTCAATTGCGAATCGTACTTTAAAGCTTTAAAATTTAAGAGTTATGCGTCACTGGATCCGTGCAGACATGACAAACCAATAAACCTTTAGGAAGTTTTAAAATGAGAATATTTAATAGTCCTAAGTTAAAAATAACATGAGCAAACCTATCCCTAGTGTAAATTTAAATGTTTGGAAAGATACAAATGCAATAGAAAGCAAGGGGGAAAAGTCTTGGTAACCTAGGATGGGAGGGATTCAGATCCCACCTCTGCTGGAAGGGAAAGCTTCAGAGTCCAATGAAACTACCGCCAACAAGTACGCAGGTTCCCAAACGGAAAAGCTGATAAACAGCAAGTAAGAAAGAGGGGAGAGTGAAACATATCGTCACTACTGTCCCAATAAAAAGTCAAAATCTCGTGTTTACCAGCAAAAAAAAAGGGAACGCTTTCAATATCGAAACGGAGAAAACCCGCCAGACGCTATCTGCATGCCGTCTGCCTGCTCATCAGGATCCGCCCTTCCCCTTCTCCTATTAGCACAATTCTATCTCAGACGCCGAGCGGCCGTGGCCAGCCGAGCAGAAGAGCCATCAATGTGCAAATAAAGCAGAAAATAGAGACATCCTTAAGAAATGAGTCTTAAATTTGACGTAGAGCGGAGGTGACAACCACGGCAACAGAACCATACATTCTAAACGCCTCAATATCTGGCAAGAGTCTCTCCAGCCCTTGACATCAAAAAGAAGACAGTACAAGAAAAGAGGTTAAAAAAATTTAAAAACCCAACCAAAAACAAGCCACGGGGCGGAGGCTGGGGTGGGGGGAAGAGCGCGACGGCCGGAGAGGCAGGAAGATGTCATGAGGATGTCTGTGTGACAGACTCGGGCTCTCGGTGGCGCAAACCTCCACGGCCCCACTCCGGAGGCGACGGGGCGGACACGCGTGGACCAAGGGGCCACGCCCACGCGCGCCAGCCCGGGGACCCCGACACCCGAGAGGCGCGTCCGGCACCGACGCCGCCCAAAGGCCCAGGCCCTCGCACGGGGTACGTCGGGCTGCGCGCGGGGCAACGCCGCGTCCGTCCGGCCCACGAGGGGACGCGGCTCGAGGGGCGGACTGCGCGGCCAGGGGGTCCGGCCGGGGCGGGGGCTCACCTCTCCTCCGCCGCGCGGGCGCGCAGGCCGCGGACGCTCCCTCGTGGCTGGCGCGAGCCCCCGGCGGGCGGCGCGCGCGGGCCGTTACCGACCGTTAGCGCCAGGGGCAGGGGCGGCGGCGGGCGGAGCCGGGGGCGGGCGCTGAGGGGCCGCGGGGTCGCGAGAGGCGGGAGCGACGGGAGCAGGGCGGGGACGCTGCTCCGGGGCTCTCCCCGCGACAACCCGGGCCTACCGCGAACCTGGGAAGAGGCCGCCGGCGAAGCGCCACTGGCCGGCTCCGCGCTCCCCCAGGCTCTGCCCGCCCAGGCCGCTCCGCCACGCTTAGGCATTGCCCGGCTGGCAGCAACCTCGGCCCCCGCGGTCCCAGTCGCCGCCGCCACCAGCTTCCCGTCTCCATGACAATAGCGCGATCGCAGCTCCGCCCCACCCCGCCCCTTTGGCGCCGGGACTCGCAGGAAAGTGGGCTTACGTCACCAGTGGGCGGAGCCCAGCGAGGCCAGCGCCCAATCATAGGTGAAGGAGGTGTCAGGCACTGGGCTGGGCGGACCCGGGGGTTCTCGGAGAATGTAGTCAACTGGTCCGTCCTCTTGGTGGGCGGTGTCTAGGGGTGGGGAGCCGACGGAGGGGAGGAGCCGGCGCGCGAGCACTAGGGTGCGCCGCCGAGCGGGTGCTGGTGCCGCGGGCGGGTGGGTGGGTAGTATGAGCTCATGAAATAAAGTACATCTCGCCCGTCAAAGTCAATGAGAGAAACTTTGTATATAGTTGTGCTTCGGCTTGCGTGTGGCCCCATTATGCGAAGTCCCCTATATCCCGAGCTTCCGCGGCGTGCCCAAACGTGTGCCAGCCTCTGTCCTGGTTCACCAGCGCCCCTGTCTGTCCCAGAGTTCGAGTGCGCCCGTGGCTTGTGGCGGCGGGAGGTGGAGAGAAAGGGAGAGGGTCTGTTTTGTATTCTAACTGTGTGGCCGTCTTGGGCAAGGGCTCTACCTCTGACTCAGTTGTGTGTGTTTGCTGCCTCGCCAGCGCCTGAGCAAACAGTGGTTGGGTTGGGCACTGCTCTGCCCAGTGTTTGCAGTGGAGCGTGGGCGGGTGCGAGAGTGCGTGCGAAGGGAACGCGACTTAGTTGAACAAAAGCGAAGGGGACCCGCACCCTCGACCATCAGCGACTAGGCGATGCGAGCTGCGAGCGGATGGAAAGCCGGGAGAAAGAGGCTTCGAGGCGTGGGAGTGGAGCTAGGGAAGGTCCCGAGACCTCCTCGGGTGTCGCTAATTTTCTGTCTGGCAGTTCTTGCCCACCACTTTTCCTCTAGAAAAAGGCTACCCCCGTAGTCCCAGCCACCCGGTGTCTCTTCGTTTGAAAGGGGCGGGGAGAGGGGTGGCGTGGAAGGGGGTTTGGTGGAAGGAAGGCGAACTTGCAGTCGTCTGAGGCCTGCCTCTCGCCCACCTGCTGCTGCCGGCGCGGAGTGGCAGTCTTCCCGGACTTCCTGCGCCCTGGGCGCGGGCCATCCACCGGCTCTCCCAGAGACCTTCATTCCGGATCTCCAACTGGCTCTCGGACCCCCTGGCTTGGGGAAGGAGCCAGAGTGGGGTGGGCAACGAACGGCCTCGGAGCCCAGCCTGCGGGAGAACAAGAAGAAATCCGCTAACTCCGAGATCTACTGTGGCTAGGAAAGCGCAGAGCGTTCGCCAGCGCACAGTCCGCGCGGCCTCGTCGTCTTTGTGCTTCGGGGTGGCCCGAACCGCTACACGGCCAGCAGTGCGTCGGAACTGCCGCTCCTCCCCGAGTTAGCAGGAGAGGAAAGTTGGAAGAGATCGACGCGCCTAGGATGTGATTGTCATCCTGGGGCCGGCGCTCGAGAGTCTGAGAGAAAGCGAGAGAGAGGGAGAGACCGGGGAGGGGAAAAGGGGAGGCAAAGAGGAGGGGGAAGAGGGGGGCCGCGGAGGGGAGGCGGGCGCTAGGGAGGGGCGAGAGGAGCGCCAGCGAGCGGGAGAGGGAGCCGGGGAGGAAGAGGGAGAGGGCGAGGCGCGCCTGGCGGCCGGGTTGGCTGCGGCCGCCCAGAGGCTCCTGCCAGTCCTCCCACCGACTACACCCCGGGAAGGAGGAGCTTCGGGCGCGCACAAGGCGTCAGAATCCTCAATTTCCAACTTAGCATCTTGGCAGGACCTTTGCGAAGCCAAAAGCAGAGCCCCCCGGTGCAAAGAGCGAGGGGAAAAAAGAGAAAGCAGCAAGGGAGGGGAGGGGAGAAAAAGCCCAGCTGGGGCGATCGAGGCGCGCAGAGGAGCGGGCGCGGCGGTCACAGCCAGAGGCGCGCGGGAAGCCAGCGAGGAGGCGCCGCGGGCCGGAGCCCCGGAGCCGGGGCCGGAGGAGCGGCGGCCCAGACTAGCCAGAGGCCAGGTGCCCGCCGGCTCGCCCTCGCAGGGCGCCGCCCGGCTCGTTGGCGGCCGCGGCGCGGCGCGCCCCATGCCCGTGTGTGGCCATGTCCTACCCGCAGGGCTACTTGTACCAGCCGTCCGCCTCGCTGGCGCTCTACTCGTGCCCGGCTTACAGCACCAGCGTCATTTCAGGGCCCCGCACGGATGAGCTCGGCCGGTCGTCTTCGGGCTCCGCGTTCTCGCCCTACGCTGGCTCGACTGCCTTCACGGCGCCCTCGCCGGGATACAACTCGCACCTCCAGTACGGCGCCGACCCCGCGGCCGCCGCCGCCGCCGCCTTCTCTTCGTACGTGGTACGTGAGCGGGATCCGCGAGGGGCGAGGGCAGCCGGGGCCCGGCGGGAGGGCGGGGGCGGAGGGGGACACAGGCCTAGGCGCCAACACCGACCTCTCCCGCCAAGCTTCGCTGCCCCTGCAAACTTGGTCGATTGTCTACCCCGGCTTCTCCCAGGCCTCGGACTCAGGAGTTGCTCGGACTGAGAGCCGCGTCTTGCTCGGATCGCTGAGCAGGCGGGAAGGGGTGTTGCGGGGAAAGGTAGCTGCAATTGAAGAGCAGCATTTGGTGTAAACGTAAGCTCCGGGCTGCCCTGCAAATTTTATATTTTTGGTTTTGTTATTTTGGAAAAGTAGTTCAAAAGAAATAGACCCGGAATTTGAGCAGAAGCATGCTAAGTCTATGTAAATGTGTTTGGCCTAGCCTTTAATTAGTCCTCCAAAATGTTGCAAATCCGTAATCCTATCTTCGCAATCCGATTTGGGGGTATTAAATTTCTGAAAAGTCGGTCGAGCTGCGGTGCATCCGGGATTTTTCGGCCGGGTGGTAACTTCAGTCTGGGGTAGCATTTTTGAGTGTGGGAGTGCCCGGGCATGGCTCAGGTTTTCCTCTGCGTTTCTTTGCGGGTTGGAAATAGAAAAGAGCCTTGACTTCCCTTGTTTTCCCCCTTGCGTCCAACGTGCGGCCGCTCCCGCGCGGGGCGCAGAGTCGGCTCAGTTGCCGAGGCCTCTATCTGGATCGAGGGCCCGGCCACTGTGGCCAGATCTGCGCACCGGGTAAGGACGTGCCCTGGCAGATGGGGGCCTACGGGGTGGCACTGAGGCCGGGAGAGCTTCGGGAGTCCCCGAAGGACCTGACTCAGGAATTGAGGCCAGGCTGCCTTCTGAGGAGGGGGAGGAGTTGCTCCTGGGTCTGAACTCCGCCAGCCTTGCCCCAGAGGAAGCTGGAGTGCGGGCCTCCTCCGCCCACAGACCCCGGGGAGCGCAGGGAAAAGGGTGCTTCGGTTGTTCCGGTGGCAGTGGAGACCACGGCCCACACTCACCTCTCTGCGTCTCCACTGCAGGGCTCTCCCTACGACCACACACCCGGCATGGCGGGCTCCTTGGGGTACCACCCCTACGCGGCTCCCCTGGGTTCGTACCCTTACGGGGACCCAGCATACCGGAAGAATGCCACTAGGGACGCCACGGCGACCCTCAAGGCCTGGCTCAACGAGCACCGCAAGAACCCCTACCCCACCAAGGGCGAGAAGATCATGCTGGCCATCATCACCAAGATGACCCTCACCCAGGTGTCCACCTGGTTCGCCAACGCGCGCCGGCGCCTCAAGAAAGAGAACAAAATGACGTGGACGCCGCGGAACCGCAGCGAGGACGAGGAAGAGGAGGAGAACATTGACCTGGAGAAGAACGACGAGGACGAGCCCCAGAAGCCCGAGGACAAGGGTGACCCCGAGGGCCCAGAAGCAGGTTGGTGGACCCGGGAAAAGGCCTGTTGGGCGGGAGTAAAAAGCAAAAGGGGGGCCTGGAGGGGGCGCGCACGGGGCCTGGAGGCTGGAGGCAAGGGTCTCTGCCTTTGCCGGCGGGAACCGGGTCCAGCCGCACTGCCTCTGAGCCTCTGAGCCTCTGACAGCCTGGGTTTCGCCCGCAGGAGGAGCAGAGCAGAAGGCTTCGAGCTGCGAACGGCTGCAGGGGCCACCTACCCCCGCCGGCAAGGAGACGGAGGGCAGCCTTAGCGACTCGGATTTTAAGGAGCCGCCCTCAGAGGGCCGCCTCGACGCGCTGCAGGCGCCCCCCCGCACCGGCGGGCCCTCCCCGGCTGGGCCAGCGGCAGCGCGGCTGGCGGATGATCCGGCCCCTCACTACCCTACGGGCGCGCCGGCATCCGGCCCTCATCCAGCCGCGGGAGAGCTGCCCCCGGGTCCCGGCGGGCCCTCGGTTATCCATTCACCGCCTCCGCCGCCGCCTCCGGCAGTGCTCGCCAAGCCCAAACTGTGGTCTCTGGCAGAGATCGCCACATCCTCGGACAAGGTCAAAGACGGGGGCGGCGGGAGCGAAGGCTCTCCATGCCCACCGTGCCCCGGGCCCATAGCCGGGCAAGCCCTAGGAGGCAGCCGTGCGTCGCCGGCCCCGGCGCCGTCGCGCTCGCCCTCGGCGCAGTGTCCTTTCCCGGGCGGGACAGTGCTGTCCCGGCCCCTTTATTACACCGCGCCCTTCTATCCCGGCTACACGAACTATGGCTCCTTCGGACACCTTCATGGCCATCCGGGGCCTGGGCCAGGCCCCACAACCGGTCCGGGGTCTCATTTCAATGGATTAAACCAGACCGTGTTGAACCGAGCGGACGCTTTGGCTAAAGACCCGAAAATGTTGCGGAGCCAGTCTCAGCTAGACCTGTGCAAAGACCCTCCCTATGAATTGAAGAAAGGTATGTCCGACATTTAACGCGGGCTGCGTCGGTCCCGGACTTTTCTAATTTATTAAAAACATGGCCTTGGCAGTTATTTTTCCATCACCGAGAGAGAGAGAGAGAGAAAAAAAAAAACCCTCCTATTCAAAAGTTTATAGTTTATGGAGATGGATGACATAAAAATGTAAACATCTCCACACACAAAAAAATGTCTTAACCAACTGAAAAGGAAAATTAAAAAAGGATTTGTATTAAATCTTATTCTGTATATTTAATGTAGCATTT